GTAGTCGACTGTGGTTTGAGTCCTGGACCCAGTGGCTTAAACTCACGCCAGGCATTTGTGCATGCGTGCTAAAGATCTCGAGAGGAGAATGGAGGAGAAGGGGTTGCAGTGTGGCCATCCCCCTTGGGGAGTGATTTCTCACTTTCTATCTCTGTCTCTGTCTTTCTGGTGGGCGCATGTACCCTATAGCAGAAACCTCTCCAGAAAAAAAAATATATATATACATATATATATTATTATTTATTTAACTTTATTTCTTCATACATTTGTTTTAATTTGACCAGAAAGAGAAAGAGAGAGAAAGTGAGAAAGCAAGCCTCCAGGTCCAGGAGTTGAACTGTGGTTGGTTATGTAGGAGTGTCCAGTGCCTTAACTACCATGCCACCTGCTGGTCCCCCATCCTATTTTAATAAATATTTGGACATGTGGGTTTTTAATATCAGCCTAATACTTATACCTTCTTGTATTAATGTGTTACACTTTGTTTAATCACTCCCTATTGCCATTCTGTTTATTTTCAGTTCTACACTGTTGTAGCACTGTGCTGAATGTCTCTGGTATAGTCATGTTTGTACTAATTTTCCCTTGGGCTGTATTTCTAAGTGTTACATGACCATATCCAAGGGTATGAATGTTGTTCAGGCTTTTAATAAATATTGCCAAGTTTTTACAAAAGGTGTGCCAGTTTCTGTTCTCCCTAGACCTTTGCTTGTTGTCCTTATCTCCCCTTATCTCCCTGTAGACCCATATGGGTTAGACTGAACCCTGGGACATCTCTCTGTAAGTCACTAATGGCCACATCCCATTTACTTTCCCATGAGTAGGATTTCAGTTTCCTAAACCTGAGGTGATCTGTCAGCTGGAGAACTGGGATGAGCCATGGATCATGGATCTACCAAGAGCTGAAAATAGGAAGGCTACCCATAATGTTTGCCCAGGTGGGTGAGGAAGAAACCCAGGCAAGTAGAATCATGAAGAGAAAGGGACGTCATGTTAATGAAGCCCCATCACAGTGTCAGACCCTGAGCCAGGTGTTCAACATGTATCATCTCGCTTCATCCCTCTTGCCCTGTGAAGAAGTAGGGTGAACGTCATCCCCACTCTCCAGATGAAGAAACTAAAAGACTAAGATATTTCTCACACAGTTAGATTGAGGGTTGGGATTTTATTTCAGGTTTCCAAAACTCATTCTGTTTCTGCTGCAATATAAAGTACTCCTTGGAGTAACTAGTCTGCTGTTTCTATGGACAGCTATCATACCACCCTAGATAATCCTTATTCTACCCTCACTACTTAGCCTTTCTCTATACTATCTTGTTCCCTTGCTTTTGTTTTGTATCTCATATTCCCTCAGTATTAATTTTGTTTTAATTGCCAGAGGGCACATATGCTTGCCAGAGAGACAGAAACAGGAGGGAGAAAGCATCCACCACTGGGGCAGGGTCATACCATAATCCCTTCTCCATCCTGTCAGGATGTGGAGCATGTATGCACGTGAGCCTGCCATGTTTTTCATACACCAAGACCTGGATTTGAACCATGGGATCTGGCTCCTTTAACCACCACTCTGTAGGCCAGCCCCATATTTGATATATATACTCTTGTTGTTTACTATGTCCTAACTGCTGCTTCTATGCCTGTTCACATCCCATGGCACTGTTGACATTTGTGGCTGGTTAGTTCTTTGTGGCAGGAGCTGTCCTGTGCACTGCAGGAGGTTTACAGGGTCCCTGTCTTCCATGCACTAGATGCCAGTAGTACCCCCTCAGTTGACAACCAAAAATGGCACCAGACATAGTCAGCTATCCCCTAGAGGCAAAATCATCCCTGCTTAAGAACCATCGCTCTAGTCAGTTGCTTTTGTTCTGACTTCTCTCAGGTTCCTTTTTGGTTCTATACTATATGTTTTCCATTTTTACGGAGTTGTTTTACCCAGCATGATTATAATGTGCATATCCAGAAAGTATAATGCTTCCTCTCCTGCATTTATATGACACTGCTGACTAGAGTATCTGGAGTAAAGTTGCTTTTCCAACAATGGTGATGGATTTTTTCTATTTTCACCTTCTCTGGCACACATTCTTGTGCGTTTTTTAGTGAGTTGTTAGAGTCACGAGGTCTTTCTGCTGTGAAGGCAGAGTCCTGTGACATGCAGAATGTTGGCCTCTTGAGTATGATGATGTGAACAACTGAGCACTGCTTAGCTTCATTTGATTGCCTTACATTCCAGAAAGCAGGCTTCTTTTCTTTTTTTTTTTTTCTTCTGCACTGGATAAATCATTTATATTAATTTTCTTGTTATTTGACTAGGTTTTGAAACTAGATCCAAGATGAAAATACTAACTCCAAAGCAGAAAATTTCTGAAGATTTAGAGTCATATAAGATATCAATGGTAATGCAAGAAACAGCCAAGAAACTTTCAGAGAAGTTACATAAATGTAATGAATTTGTGGACAGTTGGAGGTTGGCATTCCCTACTACTGGTGTTGACTACGATAAGGGCCTCCTTCCAAATCTTAACTTTATTCAAGATCAGAATAATCAAACTAGGAAGAAACAAGGCAAGTTCAGTGAGGATGAGAAATCCTCCAATCAAAGATCATTACTTTTGAGGCAAGAACAAAGTCTTAGAAGAGCAAAATCTTATGAATGCAGTGAATGCGCCAAAGTGTTTAGGCGTAAAGCATGTTTTGATCAACATCAGAGAATTCACTTTTTAGAAAATCCCTTTGAGTGTAATGTATGTGGGCAAGCCTTCAAGCAGCGGTCAGTTCTCAATGTTCATAAACAGTTCCACATACAAAAAAGGCCATATATGTGTCATGACTGTGGAAAGTGTTTCCGTCAGCTCTCCTACCTCATTGAACATAAGAGGATTCATACCAAAGAAAAACCCTATAAGTGTACTGAATGTGAAAAATCATTCCGGCAGAATTCAACCCTTATTCGGCATCAAGTAATCCATAGTGGAGAAAAGCCCCATAAATGCACTGAATGTGGGAAAGCCTTTGGTCGATACTCAACCCTTATATGCCATCAACAAATTCACAGTAAACAGAACATCCATAAATGTAGTGAATGTGGACAGGCCTTTGGACGCAATGTAGATCTTATTCAGCATCAAAGAACCCATACTGAGGATGAATTCTTTGAATGTAGAGAATGTGGGAAAACATTCAGTTTTAAGAGAAATCTTTATCGACATCAGGTCATTCACACTGGAAAAAGACCCTATAGATGTGACACATGTGGGAAAACCTTCATTTGGCACACAAGCTTTATTAAACATCGAGGTACTCACAAAGGACAGATATCTGCATGATATTAATTGGAACAGCTACCATTTAAAGACCAGAATTTGGGACAACCAGTTGGTATGATGGTTAAGGCAGCTGGATCTCACATGACTGACTGCATGGTTTAAGTCTTGCACACATTGTCTTGAAAAACTTGCCTAGAGCATATGCATATGTCTCCAAAATCCCAAGGAGAATGTAGAAAAGACTGCGGCATGGTCATCCTCCCTGGGAAGTACTTTCTCACTTTCTCTCGCTGGTGAGCATATGTGCCTAATAGAAAAACACATAAAGACCAGAACTTAACCATCTGCTCTTAAGGGTATAACCTTGATATTTTTCATGGAGAGTAATAAATGGAACTGGTGTGGTTTTTCTGTGCAGGCCATTTATTTGTAGCGAACCTTCCTGCTGCAGTCAAGGATTATAGAAAATGTAATAGACTATTGTGTCCTTCTTGAACCCACCCAGTATCCTCATTTTCTTCAGTTTAAAGCAGGAGGGAGGCATAGCTTTTCCCTATGGTCCTCAAGGCTGTGGACCATGTGATGAGTCAGGAACATTTTAACAAAACCTTTCCTGGGTTATATAGAGAAATGATCTGGAGGGACCAGCAGTTGGCATAATGGGTATGTCACTGGACTCCCACATAGTCAACTGTGTTTCGAGTCCCAGATCCGGTGGCTTAAACTCATGCCAGGCATGTGTGTGTGCATGCCCAAGATCCCAAGAGGAGAATGGAGGAGAAGGGATTGTGACATGGCCATGCCCCTGGGGGATGGTTTCTAGTTTTCTGTTTCTGTCTGTCTGTCTGTCTGTCTTTCTGGTGAGCGCACACACCCTATAGCAAAAACCTCTCCCCCCCCCCCAAAAAAAAAGATCTAGAATAGCCTGGTAGCATAATGGTGAAGGGAACCAAATGTGCTCTGTAGGAAATTAAAAAGTAATGACAATGAGGGACCAGCAGTTAGTGTAATGGCTATGTCACTGGATTCCCATGTAGTCGACCGCGGTTCACGTCCCGGACCCGGTGGCTTAAACACACACCAGGCGTGTGTGCGTGCGTGCCCAAGATCCCAAGAGGAGAAAGGAGGAGAAGGGATTGTGGCATGGCCATCCCCCCTGGGGGGTGATTTTTCACTTTCTGTCTCTGTCTCTCTCTGTTTTCCTGGAGAGCGCACACGTCCTGTAGCAAAAACCTCTCCAAAAAAAAAAAAAAGTAATGATAATGACAAATTAATTTTTTAAGGATGTATTTATTTATTTATTTTCACATAAGTTCTGCCAGAAAAAAGAGAGAAAGCAAATCTCCAGGTCTGGGACTCGAACCATAGTCGGCCACGTGGGAATTCCAGCACCTTAACCACCACACCACCTGCTGGCTCTGACAAATTAACTCTTTAAAAAAACACACATAATGTGATCCCACTATACACTTACCAGAATGGCTACAATTTAAAAAGCTGGTTAAGTTTTGGTCTTATCATGGAACTGAAGCACATTGCTGGTGGAAGCAAATTATAAAAACTATTGGGTCATCAGGAAAGTCATGACACATAGAAAAACGTGTCGTGAATTTCCTGACAACCTAATACTTTGTCAAATGACTTGCCAATATTTACTAAAGGTGAACATGCCTACCCTATAACCCAGCAATCTAGTCCTGGGAATAGACACAAAAGAAATGCACATGTATGTTCTAAAATATGTCATAGAATATATATAGCAATACTATTTTTAAATTTAACTTTATTTATTTATTTTAATTTGACCAGAGAGGGACAGTGAGAGAGCAAGAAGGTCTGAAATCTGAACCATGGTCAGCCATGTGGGAGTCCAGCACCCTTGGCCACCATGCTACCCACTGGCCCCTATAAATAAAACTATTAATCATACCCCTGTGGTGGTTAAGATGCAGGACTCCCACATGGCTAATCATGGTTTGAGTCTTGGAACTGGCAGCTTTTCTCACTTTCTCTGTCTCCCTCTGGTTAAACTAAAAGATAATAACAAATAAAATTAAATAAATAAATCTTAATGGAAAAAATAAAATTGTGGTTTATTTTAGGCCAGCCCATGTCCTGTAATTCAGGCAGCAGGATCCCATGTGGTTTGAGTCTTGGATGCAATGACTTAAGAAACATCCTGGCTATATGTGTGTACATACATGTTCCAAATCCCAACAAGATGCAAAAATGTAAAAAGGACTGCAGTGTGACCATGCCCCATCAGGGACGCTATTGCTCCCTTTTTCTGACATACCCTGTGGCAACATTTTATTAAATGTAGTTTAACAATTGTATGCTACATAGCAAAGAAAATGTGTGTTGTATTATATAGCTCTGGCTGCCACAACAAAATACTATACATTTGGTAGCTTAAACAGAAACTTAATTTCTCACACTTCTGGAGACAAGAGGTCCCAAGATCAAAAGGTCCTAGCTAGTTTCTGGTGAGGGCTTTTTTCCTAGTTTGCAGATGGCTGCTATTCTAGTCTGCTCAATTGTGTGTGTGATTTATTATTAATTTTTAAAATTTGATACAGGGAAATGCACTCACCAAAGAGAGACTCCATGTGGAAGCCCGGCACCTTCACCACCATGCCACTTGCTGGCCCCAAATAAAAAAAAATTTTAAGAGAGATTTTTGCTATAGGGCACTTGTGCTCTCCAGAGACAGAAAGGGAGAAATCATCCCCTGTGGAGGGATGGCCTTGCCGCATTCCGCAGTCCCTTTTCTTCCACTATCCTCTTGGGATTTGGGGCACACACACACACACACACACACATACACACACACACACACACACACAACTGGCATGTGTTTCAATTTGCCAGGTAGGGGATTCCAACTGTGGTCAGCCAGGAGTCCAGTGATGTAACCAGTACACCATCTGCCGGTCCCATGAATAATTTTTTTTTTTTGAGAGGTTTTTCGCTTTAGGGCGCGTGTGCTTGCCAGACAGACAGAGACATAGAGACAGAAAGCGATGGTCACGCCACAATTCTTTCTCCTCCATTCTCGGGATCTTGGGCACGCCACACACGCACCCGGTGTGAGTTTTAAGCCACTGGGTTCGGGACACGAACCGTGGCCAACTACGTGGGAGCCCAGCCACATAGCCATTATGCTAACTGCTGGTTCCCAATAATTATTTTTTTAAGAGTTATTTTATTGGGGCCAACAGGTGATGTGGTTGTTAAGGGCGCTGGACATGGCTGACTGGTTTGGGTCCTGGACCTGGCAGCTTGCTTTCTCACTTTCTCTCTTACTCTCTCTGTTCCTCTCTGGTCAAATTTAAAATAAATAAATAAAGTTAAATAAAAATAATTCTTCTTTAAAAAAATTTAATTTAAAAAAAGTAATTCTTAAAAAAATTATTTTACTTTATTTTAATTTGACTAGAGAAGGACAGAGTGAGAAAGTGAGAAAGCAAGCTGCCAGGTCTAGCACTCAAACTGTGGTCAGCAACGTGGGAACCCAGCACCCTTAACCATGCCACCTGCTAGCCCCCCAAATAATTCAGAAAACAAAAACAAAACTATCAGGAGTTTGGGTTAGGAGGTGGTATGGTAGTTGGGGAATTGGATTCCATATGATCAACTCCATGATTTGAGTCCTGGCCCTGTGGCTTGGAAAACATGCTATGTGCAGGTGCGTGCATGCCCCAATTCCTGAGAGAATGGAGAGGGGTTTGCTGAGTGGTCAGTCCATCTGTGTAGTGATTTCTCACTTTCTTCTCTGTCTCTCTGGTGAATGCATGTGCCCTATGGGGAGAAAACAAAGTAAAATAAAAATAAACAAGGTGTGGTCATAAGGGTGCTAAACTCCTACATGGGCAATAGGTTCAAGTCCCAGATCTGGTTCCTTGCTTTCTCATTCTCCCTCTCTGTCTCTCCGGTGACCGTATGTGCCCTGCAACAAATTGAAAATAATAGTAATTGATAAAATTAAATAATTCCTAAAAAAAAAATCCCAGGAGTCAAAGAGGTTGTACCCTAATCACTCCCCAAGTCCTCACCATTTTAAATTAGTTCTCTCTCGTTTTTTTTTTTTTTAATTTTTTCTCTTTTTTAAACATCCTTATTGGCTATTCATGTTATTTATTTATTTATTTTGGGGGGAGAGGTTTTTGCTATAGGGCGCATGCACTTGCCAGAAAGACAAGAGCCAGACAGCAAGAAATCAACGCGCCCCCCCCCCGGGGGGGGATGGCCACGCTGCAGTCCCTTCTCCATTCTCTAGGTATCTTGGGCACACATGTACACGCGCCTGTGAGTTTAAGCCACTGAGTCTGGGACTTGAACTGCGATCAACTCCATGGGAGTCCAGTGACAGCCATTAAGCCAACTACAGGCTCACAGTTTTTGTTATAGGGCATGTGTGTTCACCAGATAGGCAGAGGCAAATTCCTTCTCTTGGGATCCTGGGCACACATGCACACACATCTGGCATAAGTTTCAAGTAACCAGGTCCAGGACTCAAACTGCAGTTGACTACATGAGAATCCAGCAATGTAACCATTATACCATCTGCTGGTCCCTAAATTAATAATTCCTGCCCCCCCCACAAAAAAAAGTGTGACAGAGAGAAAGGAAAGAAAACACACTGGGTGCACATGCATGTGTGCCCAAAATCCCAACAGAAGAATGGAAGAGAAAAGAATGTGGTGTGATCTTGCCTGGGGGGTGCTTTCTCTCCTCCCCACACCTTCCTTGGGGTGCATACACCCTACAGCAAACTAAAAAGAAAGAAAAGCCAATGGGAACCACACAGGATCTTGCTCATTGGAGAAATAAAGTGAGAAAGCACTCCTCATAGTGGGTGGTCACTCTGCAATCTCCTCCATTTCTCTATCCTGTGGGGATTTTTAAAAGATAGAAAGTTTGATGAAAAGAATAAGCTGGAGTATTGTGGAGATGGGCTCTCTGGTGAAGTTTTCCTGAGCATTTTTCTCCTAAAGCCTCCACTTTCTTAAACTCTCATAAGGGACCAGCAAATGGCATAATGTATATGTCACTGGACTCACACATAGTTGACCATGGTTCGAGTCACGGACCCGGTAGCTCAAAACTCATGCTAGGTACATGTGTGGATGTACCCAAAATCCCAAGAGGAGAATGGAGGAGAAGGGATTGAGGCATGGGCATCTCCTCTGGGGGGTGATTTCTCACTTTCTGTCTCTGTCTCTCCAGCAAGCACACATGCCCTGTAGCAAAAATCTCTCTGAAAAAGAACAAAAATACTCCTAATAAGGAGATGGTTATTTGGCCCTCCAGAAGGTCAACAAACAAAAGACTTTTAGCATTCCAAAAAACTGTTGAAATGACCTTTGTTCAACTGGTCCTCTTTGCTTTGACTAGACCATTTCCATCTTTAGGTAGCTATTGCTTTGATTGTGCTTTGACTTCAGAACTGTACTGGTAAAGCTATGTTATATCATCTATTATACTTCTACGAATAAATGCTTCAGTGTTTTGATCCCACTTGTTTAAAATTTTCACTGTAAATTCTGTTCTTGTTTGCAACTGATCTGGGTGCAACACTTCAGGTAGAGGTTTGACCCACTGTAGTTCTTCAGTCAGAAAAGGAAGCTGGGTCAGCTCTATGGTGTGGTGGTAAT